GGATGCTACCTTTGTTAGAAGCTGCTTAGACTCTTTAATGATGGCTTGTGCAAATATAGAAAATGATCGATTGTGATTTCAGAGTTCTAGTACATTTAGTATGTTAACTGGGAACCAGAAGTGCTGATTAAGACAAGAAACATTTTTCACAATTATGTTTTGTGTTCTTATTAAACTAGTTTAATATTCACTTATAACCTGTGACTTGGATCATATAGCAGCTATGGATGAATTGCATAGCAATTAGAAGTCATCTTCATCGTAGTATATAATTAAACTTTGCTCATAATGGTTGTCTCACAGCTGTGCCTGAATTCTTATTATGCATTGTTTATGTAGTAAGCCCCGTGTTAGCTGTTCTCTGGTTAGACTGTTCATGCCCTGAAGACCTGCTTACACAATTACACCTTTGTTTTTAACCTCTTCTTTGCTAATATTCACAGCTGTCACTCTACTCCTCTCCAGCTCGTGAGACTAAATATGTGGAGAATCCACAAACCCAATTGGAAGAGGGGGTTTCGCGTTTACGGCATGTTATGGAACCGTATACAGCCTGGTGTCAGGTATAATGGTTTTATATCGCATCTGGTAGTGGTTCAGTGATAAGGGTTGAGCTGGGATTTATTTTTTTTTTTAGGGACAGAATTAATAGATAGCAGCAAAGTAAAAGTTGATAGCTGTACAAGCATTTTTCCAAAGCGCTGCATTACTTAAAATTTTCCACAGTTCAGGTCATAATTTTTACCCCCTCCATACAAAACCAGTTGTTTCTTTCTACTAATTTGCTGAACTAAACCCCTGCTTTTTCACATTTCGTATCCCTCCAGAAGAATTAAAAGAAAATTAACTAAAGCTTAGAGTCATTGTCTGAAATAAACTTTAAGCTTAAAGATATCTGGGGATATCTGGATTTGGTACTGTCCTGTGACTGAGGAAGACGGGAGAGTGATTAAATTTACATCTCCCATGCTCAAGGAGAAGGCCTTAAATTACCAAGCAGTGTGTTTTGGAGCAGCAATACCGAGTTGTCCTCACTGCAACTTGACAAAACACAACTTTGCAGAAAATAAATCAGTATTTGCTGAACTGGAATGTTGAGGGAAGGAACATGGCTCTCTGGAAGAGAAGAAATCCCAGGCCACTAGTAGTGGCAAACCTAGCCCCCAGACCTTACCCCAAAATTTTCTTATACGTTTTATTAGGTAGCATGTTTATACTAAACAGTCATTAAATACAAAAATAGTCTTTGGAGCACAGAGGAACACCAAGATCTTTGTAATCAAGGCCTAAATTACTGATATTAGATTGCAGAATCATGTGATGGCTTTCTTGCTCTTTCCTGACCCAGTGAATGTTGAGGCTTACTTTGGAAGCAAGGACATCCTCGTCATCTGATTGCTTCTTGGCAACTTTGGGCGATTCTCTACTTTGCACTCTGGCTGTTGTGAATCCTCTTCTTAAGCTGCAAGCTGGTTTTCCAGTTATCCATAGAAAGCCAAGCTGTTGAGATCAGGGTGTCCTTTCTGCCTAGAAGTTCTGTGTTGTGGTACCAACCTTTAACAGTACTGAAACATTTTTTCAGTCTAGTGATGTGTTTCTAAAGTGCCACCAGCAGGGGTACTGACTTCAGTTTTGAAGGAGAAGGGGGATTTTCCACAGTACAGTTAGAACTCTGACCTCCTAAACACATGGGTTCTGTTTGATTGCCTGTGGGTACCCATAACTGGGAATGAAATTTGAGGCGAGGGTAAGTTGCCCAGTTGGACTGACTGCAGGTAAGCCTTGAACAGTGCTTTACGTCTCACTGGCCTGTTGTCTTCCTGTTTGCTTTATTTTTTGTCTGTGTGGTGATCATTTACATAAGATGTGCTCTTCTGCTCACACACAACAAGCCATTTCCTGGCAGTGGTTTACTGACTCATTTTATGAAGTGGGCATGTAAACTTTATGGATTTGGGGTCATCTCGCTTGCTTAACTGTAGTCAGAGATAATTTTGGTTTTACACCACCCGCACCCCCTGATATGTTAAAGAAAATAACATTTTAGGTATGTCTCAGTTGTCTTTAAAATTAAAAACATAACCCAAGATAATGAGAATAAAATTGGTTATGTTTGTATATCCATTTTACTTTTTCAAAATTGCTTGCTTAACTGTAGTGGAAAGACAGTTCAAAACACAGATGTAGAAATGAGCCAGTTATGTGTGAGCTGTGACAGAAGATCAGATTTAGCCTCTGGGGTCTTCAGAGCATGTTCTTTTTTCATTGGCTTTTAATAAGACCAACATCCATTTAGAGGTATGTTGTATGTCACATGCTAACACTTTTTTTTTGACAAGTTTTTTTCTTAAGTCATTTTTGCCAGTGAGGAAATGAAAGTTCTAAAGATATTATCCCCCATGCAGTATCCTAAACAAATGCTTTCACTTCTGCACAGATACCGCTCAAGTGGTGTTGCGAGACCATTCTCTGCTTTAGCTTTGGGCATACATGTTTATGAATTTGTTCCCTAATTGTAGACAGTCTTACACTGTCTCTCCAAAGGATTATTAGCATAATAACAATTAGCGGCGTTGCTCTTACTGACATTTTTTTTTCTACTTTGGTAAAAGGCAGCGTGAATTCTTTTACTTCCTGCATATTTTCAGTCCGAGGAAAAAAAATCTAGAACTAGTTTGTGGGGTTGATGCAGTGCTCTTTGATTTACTTGGGACATTGCACGGGCGTTGATGCAGTGCTCTTTGATGATTTGCTTTGGACATTGTATGGACATCTCATTTTCCAAGTCACTTCAAAAATGCAGTTTGTTAGCCTAAGATAGTCTCTTGGGAAGTAGAGTTTATCACCTTGCAGAATGTGTCATGTACTCCTGTGAAGTGCTAGGAAGGAGTTTATTACAGTGTTGTAATTCCTTTCTTTGCATCAGCTCAAGTATTTTTGTGATACATACGTACACTGAGAAACCTGAGAGAATCCTGAGTTTCAGCTACCTGATCAGGAACTCAGTGAAATATTGAAGTTGACTTCTGTGTTTTGAGGTATTATATTTCACCTGTGGCCAAAGACTACTTTGAGAAAAAGCTGTATGTTATGCCAAATGTAAAGTTGAGCAGCATAGCCCTGTAAGTGAAGGATGGAAGTGGGAATAAAAAGAAGTTATTTTAGGGACCCAACACTTTTTTTTTTGGTTGTCTTTTTTTCTTTTTTTTTTTTTTCTTCGTCAGGTCAGTTACCATCTGTAGTTAATATTTTACTTACTTGGTATCTATTTACTGTTGTTTTCTTTTCTTTTTTCTTTTAGGATCTTTATGCCAAAGCTATGCCCAAATTAGAAAAAGCTGTTGAGCATGGTAGAGGTAAATCAGTTTAGTTTTTTTAACTAGCAATTTAAAATGCAGGACTGTACTATATCTTCTGTTAAAAGGGAATTCCATTAAGCATCATTATATATATAATTTCTAATGCATTTAAGACTACTTTATTTGCACTGTATATCTGTTTAAATTTCCTTTGTAGGTCATTATGACACTACATTTCTAAACAATTAAAGTCTGAGACCTGCATCTACGTTGACCAATGTCACTAAAAATGACAGTTATGCAGGAAAAGAAGGAAAAGAAGCCTCACAATTTATTCCCAGTCGGTAGTATTTGCTTGAGCCAGCCTAGTAACTGAAACTTCCTGCAACGTTTATTACAAACAAAAGACCTAACACTTGCAACAAGTAATGTTTAGCCTTTTCATTTTGGTTTACTTCCTTGGATGTCCTAAGAATTTTGAATTAATCCAAAATAATTTATATTTATTTTTGGTTTTGGAAGCATCTTTTCATACTTAAGCTCCTCAGGACTGAGCATGGATGCTATCTAGAGCTCATTTCAGATACTTTGCCTCTTTTCCTTAAACTTAACAGTCTCAGTCTTTTGAACTCCTTTGTATGGAAGGTTTTTCATGGTTTTCCATTCCCCCATCAGACTCCCATCTTGGAGTGAGCTTTGTTTATGCTGTGTCTTTCCTTTGTTCTGTGATTTGTTTTTTGTACAGTGTTTTAGTGAAACTAATTCATGTTAACATGTAAATGTAAGAATCCATTTTCCAAAGGTTTTTATCACTAATTTGAAAAAGACATAATCGAGATGCAAAAGAGCAAAACAAAACAGATGGCCCAGGAGCAAAGGCAAAAGCTTCTATGAAAATTGGTAAATACAATACGATGTTCAGTTTCATTCATGTGTCACTAGAGAAGATCTCAAAGGCTTTGAATTTTATGCCAGCAGATCAAAAATGTGCATGATAGTTAAATGTGTTTTGATAACTCTTTATGTTTTGTAACAATTGCCAGCATGTATTGATGATTCCTTATCACAAAAACACTTTCACATTACATTAAAGCACTTTGTTCTGACTTCTTTTCAGAGGGCTGTGAATTTCTCCAAAACCCCCCTGCTGGATTTTATCCAAGGCTTGGTGTGATAGGTTTTGCTGGAATTGTTGGATTGTTTCTTGCTAGAGGTAAGTGGGAACCTTTTGAACCGCTTATATTATGATTTGGGATAACTAATTTATTTGTGGTTTTTGGATACTAATTTTTAATTGTGACGCATGAGATCTGGCTTAACTGTACAAGCACGTTTCTACAATGTTCCTCCAATTATAAAGAAACTTCATGTAAAAGGTGTGTAATAACCATCAATTATTGTTTATGAATACTGTATTTGTTAGTGGAATCTAGTCCTTGATCTTTTCCAGTTCTAGCTTATTATAGCAAAAGTAGGAAAGGATTTTTTTTTAGCCTAAAAATCTTTTTAATTACTTAAGTTCTTGATCACGCATGTCACTGTAGAAACTATAGAGGAATAAATTATGGTAAAATACAGAGGTTCCTGAACTATGATACATGTACAATTAGTTGTATGTTCGAGTTCCTTCAAAGTATTGCGTGTCCAGGCACAGAGCTGCTGCAGATGGTGATATTCAGCAAAAATACGTCTGAACTCTGGCTGTACTATAAATACATGCACATTTTGTGCTATAGAAATGTGAGACAGTTAATTTCATCACACTAGTTGAAGAAACTAATACGTTTATGCTTTCATAGAAATAAATGCTATTTAAGAAATGTTAATTGTGAAAAAATATTTTGTGTTTGTATTGAGATATAGTAACACAAGAGGAAAACTTGTAAAGAACTGTAAAGTTCTAGAATTTAAATACTAGTGAGGACTTGCTTTGGATAAAAATACACCTTTGTGGGGCCTGTACATGTTGAACAAACTGGAAGTGTGTGCTTGGCTATGTAGAAATGGAAAGCATTCTGTGAATATATGCACTCCTCAATATTTAATTTTCCAGTGAAGATGATGATGAAAGCAGTACTCTTTTTTTTTTTTTTCCCTAGCATTTTTTTTTTTAATGAAAATCAAGGTCTCCAACTTCACCCATTTGAAGTTCTTTCTCTTCAAATTCCTGCTTCTTGAGTTATATTGTTATGAATGAGATCAGCTTCCAGCCTTTATGAGTGTAGCAAAACTGGGAGAGGGGGAAGTGCAGTCCTGGGGCTGGATCTGAAAGATTAGAGGGTCCTAAGTTTAATAAAAATCCCTCATAATACAAATGTCTGAGTTGTGAGTCTTTTAGGATGGAGCCGTAATTTTAAAACTTTTTGTCTGTTTATAGTTTACAATACTGGCTGTTATTTCCAGAAAGCATTCAAACTGTAGAAGGAAGTGCCCCTTAATTTTGATGCTGCAGAAAGTTAGAACTAAATGTCCTCTTTTTTTATCCCTTCCCCCCCTTGGTCTCACTGGAAAAATTGCCCTCTTGGAAGGTACAGATAAAATCTTCCAGGTCTAACCATAACACTTGAAGATGCAGCTGCCCACAAAGTAGAAAGTACAGTATTCAGAGTTTAATCATGTGAATACTGTGCAGTTGTCCAACTTGGTTTAAAATGCTGTTGAAGATAATTTGTTCTAACCTTGTTGAGTAGTACTGGAATGGACACGGGAGTATTCCTAAAGTTCTCTCTGATGGGTTTCTCCAGCAGCTAGCAGCCTGCTGGAAGGCATTAATATCTTCAACTTTTACCTTTATTCCTGAAGTGATATTGTAGGCACACTGATAAGCTATCCCTAAGGAAGATTTCGCCATTCCCAGAAATTCCAACAATAGTGTAGTTTTTCTGGTTGTAGAGATGCAATGAAGCTTGCCTTTTCTGTGCTTTCTTATAGCTAATTGGTACCAAGTTCCCTCTTCACAAGGCTAGCAACATCGCTTTATGAGTGTCTCATTTACTGTGAAGTTTCTCGTCTCATCATGAGCATACGTTAGTGGAAACACTAAACACTTCTAATACGCATTTCCTCTTCAAAATTCGTTATTCCTTTATTTAGAAGCACGTGTGGCTTCGCATGTAGAACAGGCTGTTCTATGAGGAACAGAACTACTGCGTCCTGACTCCTGTACGTCTGTTCTATGACCTTTTTTTTCCTGTACTGCTTGCTTGTCTCCTTTACCTGCTCCCTTCTGTGTTCCTTTCTGACTGGATAAACTGCAGCATGCCCTGTAACTGATTCAGTGATGCATATTGTCACTGGCCGGCCAGGATACACAACCTGTGGCCAGCTGTGATAAGAGGATGAACTTTTCAGGCAGTTAAATTTTAGACTTGTATAGTTGAATGGAGAGTTCAAATTGATTAAAATGTTCAAAATTTAGTTGGGGACTCAGCAATAGGCATATAGCATAATTTTAAGTACTTTAGTTCAAAAGTACTTTCAAATGCTTTGCAAATTGCTATAGTGAATCAAGAAAAATTATTCATAAGAGCAGTTGTGGAAGAATCAATATTTGTGAGTCAAGGTAACTTACAAAGTTTGTATTGGAATGTCTCTTGTTCTGCTTGATGTATCAAAAGAATGCTATCCTAACCTTTCTTTGCCCGAGTTGTTCCTTTTAGTTTAGAAAAGAATATCAGTTGGTATAGTTCTCTTAAATATCTCTTAACTGTGGCTTTTACTTCATTATTCGGTACTGAAATAAATTAAGTATTACTACAGTAAATATAGTTGTAAGGTAATTTTCACTATGGAAAGATGTTAATAAAAATATTCTCTTGAAAAGGTAATAATAAAGAAAAGAATAATTACTGATCAGAGTAACCATGTTCCTTCAGAAACCAGTAGGACTGAACAGAAAATATGCTAAAGTGTATTTAATAAAATTGTTTTGATTATAAATAAAAGGTAGGGCCATTCAGCTGTCCTGGTTAACATATACTCTAACAATGTTTTGGGTTTTTTGTTGTTGTTATGAAACAGGCTCCAGAATAAAGAAGTTAGTGTATCCTGCAGGTCTCATGGGTATTGGTGCCTCCATGTATTACCCTCAGCAGGCGGTTTCTATTGCAAAGGTCAGTGATGACACCTTTCTTTGGAGAAGTGTTTTTTACTTTGATTATTGTCTCCTACCTTCAAATTAACTGGTAAGCCATTTTTAAAAGCCCTGTCAGTGTGCTTGGCACTTAACAAAATAATAGTTATTTTGGCAAAGAACATGTACTGTAGGCTGAAAGACAGTCAGATACTCTGTTTCTTTTACTGACTGACTTTTTTCTCCCTAACATCTGCAATAGTGTCTTCAGTTTGAGGAACGTAATTTCCTTTCTGAGTCTCTCAAGTAGTTATAAATTAACGTAAATATGCTTAGTAAGTGCAGTTTGCATGTTTACTTACAATACTAAGGAAGTCTGAAATATCTTGAGAGCAAATGAAAACAGGGTTTGAAAGAAAGAAAAGGAAAAAAAAAAAAGAAGGGACATTCTATAGAGAAATCATAGGAACAACATTCTGAGGTAAACATTGTTATTGAAGTTTTATGCTTCTTGTTGGATAGTTTTTTAAGAAAGATAGCATGCACATTCTGGAATGGGGTAAGAATGCTGCTGCTTATTGGATGCCTTTCCTGTTTATGCATTTGTTGTTTCAGGCACATAAGAAACATGATAACTTACAGTTGCTTCAGTGGGTTTCCTGTGAAAGAAAGAAGTGAAGAGACCGGTCAATTGCTTACAGCCCCTACTGATGTCAGTTCATGTGCCTTGCTGTCCACACTTAATTGTACTGGCAGATTTCTCAGTTCTCCACCACGTTCTTTTTCAAATCTAGCTTTTAACCACTCACAGTGCACATATTTTAGTGTGTCAGAAATATTTTATATTTCAGGCTTTGGTAAACTGGCTATTCAGTTATTGGTACCTTGTGAATGACACTGAGATGTCAGGATGAAAATGTGATTTTCTCAAGAACATATGATGTTCTTTGAAAACTGAAAGGTCATTGATTTAGGGAGAGTCAAAAACGCTGTGTTTGAACTCTGCCAGCATGGTGACACGCTGATCTTTGATGGAATCTTTTTTTAGTGCTTCCAGGATTCAGATGCTCTAAATACAGATAGTTCTGTTGACTTATTTTCAGGGAGTGAAAATTATGCAAGTGGCAGGAAAAAAAAAATCACAATTTAAGAAGCTTAGACATTTCTGTTGGAAACTGTGTATTGAAACTCTAGTTGCCTTCTGAACAGTGGAGTGGGAATTGATTGAATGGTGTTCAAACTGATGTTACTGTTGTTAAAGAAGCTCAGATCAGTCTTAACTATGGATTTGCTACTAACAGCTTCACAATACCTTGTTTATTTTACGAAAACTTTGAAGTGCATGATTGCCCTTTGATTAATTCACAGTTCTTAGTTTGACTGTAACAAAAAATCTGATATGAGACCATGAGCCTGAAACTTGACTGGAATAGGTTTAGCTTTGTTGACTTGGTCAGGACACTAGACGTATGAGTTTGAAAACTTCTGTGGAGAGAGTGATATCCTAGATACTGTTTTGGTTCTTCTAATCTCTCTTGCGCTTTTCTTTTCTTTTCTTAAAGAAGCAAAGTTTTAAGCGTATCGGATCTTACTATCCATAATTTTTATGCTTTAATCTGAAATTGGAAGCACTTTTATCTCTAGTAATTATTTTGAAATGTTTCATAGGCCTTTCAAAAAATTTCTGTAAGCCTAGAAAGGGATGCCGGCAGTACAAAGCTCACTTGCCAAGTTAATAGAACAGTATAGGAAATATTCTGGAACATAAATTTTAAATTTTTTTACTTATTCTTTTTATTATGTTCTTCTTATTTTTCTTCCATATTTGAGTACTTCATCACTGCTTTTCCATTTACAGTGGTATAGTTCCCTTCATGTGGTAAACTTTCAGATTTGACCATACTTTAAAAGACTAAAAAAGTTTTGGGTGTTGTTTTTTGTTTGTTTTTTTTTTTCCCCTTCCCACCTTTATTAAAGACTTTCCATTGGAGAGTTCAAAATAAACACAGCAAAATATATTTGCAGTTGAGGTACAACACTTGATGCATCTGTCTGGAAGAAAACTTTTTTCTTTAATAAAAATGTATGAGTTGCTGAGTGAAGTTATAGCAACAGAGTTCATCATTGCTAATAGGTAGTTTTCAGACACTGTTCGTCTAACTGAAGGTGGAAGAAATGCACAGACTAATTATTTTTTTTTTCCCTGCTTTAGTAATCATTCTAATAAATCACAAATTTGTAAGGGATTTATTTCCTCACTGCTAGTATTACTTATTTGTATAACTTTGAACAAATGGTCAGACTGTATATGTGGTAAGGGAACTGAATTTAATACTAAAGTTTATTTTGTTCTGGTGGAACTTCAGCTACTGTTTTGGAACTGTATTGCTTTCCAGCTAATCATAATACATTCAAAATATTTTGTATTTACTGTGGCTTATCTTCCATCTGGAAAAAAACCTTTCCATTATGAAGTTACTTAAATCAGTCTCTTTATCATTAGAATGAATTTTTGTTCCTTGTTATTAGAACTTCACAAATTGCCTAAAGTAGTATGTGTTACACTTACCACCTTCTTGAAAGAAAGAAAAGCTTCCTAATACGTGTTTCTTTCTTTGACAACAAACTAAATTATTTCTGTGTCTTTTGAACCTAGACCTCGTCCCTTGCCCAGTTCAGTCCATAAGGCATAAACAGTTGTATTGGCACAACTGAGAGCATGACACGATTACAGGAACTGTGGGTTGAAAAGAAGGAGTTGGAGTCACTTGGTCCATGTTTGCTGCAGAATGAAATGCTTGTGAAATTGCACTATGACTACTTTGGTAGCAATATAAATGTAGAAAAGCCAGCAGATTCTCAGTTTCTCAGCATGCAATGTAGATAAAGAATTGCTAGCCATAATTCTGCTCGATGATCTTGACATATAACATACGGTATAGTCAATATTATATGCTTATGGTCCTGTGTGGAATTAAAATATGGGAGCTTGTTTACATGCACATTAGGCCTTAGAGACGGCTGATGCTACCCCAGTAGTGCCTAGTACGCATGTTTGTGGCCCAAGGTCAATTTCAAACTATTTCAGAGTCCCTGTTGAGAACCACTCAGTCTGACTTTTGAACTTGTTTGTTCAAATTTTAGCATACAAACTTGCTTAGTGTTGCATTGAACAGAGATGGTATTTTAGCATGTTGTAATTTAACACAAACAAGCTGGGAATTGTTACCTTCCAGAAATTAAGAATTCCAGATGACTGAATGGAAAAACTTGTCCCTCTTCGAAAGGAACTCTTTGTATGAATGTTGGAATGAACACTTTGAACAATTGAATGAACTGTTTGTATTATGATTGTTCCTTTTACTTTTCCTGGTTGGAACTGCCACTCCCAAGAATAGTGGTGGCAACTGCAGTACCCACCTGCTTCCTCTTCAACTGCACCATGAGAAAGAGAGGTATAAAACACAAGCCTAATGCATGACTCTTGTGTTGTGTTCATGAGAGGATGCATTGGGTGGTTGTAAAAGTTTCTTGGCTATGTTCCTTGCATAGCCTTGCAGCTTACAGTCTGTCTAGAATTGTATTTTTCAACCCATGTGAGCTGTGAATGTGTGTGTGGGGGTCCCAGCTGTTGGGAGGTGTGTACAGTGTTGGAACATTGGTTGACTGTGGCAGACTAAACTATCTGGGTGGCTGTACCTTGTGATGTAGCTACTTTACTCCAGCAACGTGAATGACTGTTTCTCATTTAGTGCAATTCATAATTCACTTGGTCGTATGACTCCTATAATAAGAATATGTTTAAGTTTGTACTGTTAGGTATTTAGAGTGTTTTTAAGTATTTTAATGGAGTATTTTTAAGCAGGAACAAGAAAAGGCTTATGGATAGTTGGTTTTTCTAATTTTGTGTTGATAGCTGTGTCCTCAGTAACACTGCAGACAAAAAGCACCTCTGTTTGTTTGTTTGTTTACTGTGGTGGTTATTCAGTCCTGGTAGGTTTGTACTGCTTTCACAACTGATAACTATTTTTCCAGATGAGCCGTAGGCTTCTCTGACTTTCAAAACTAGCTTGTTGAAGTACTTGAGAATGAACACTCCTGATACTGAAAAAGAAGATAACTGTCTATACCTGTAATGTTTGAATTGAGGGATTTTGGAGATTTAACACATTCATTGCTGGAACAGTTGGTGTGCTTTTTTCTGATTACATTTATCACCTTCAAATATAGAGAAAACTCAGTGCATCATACTGACTTGTTTATAACCAAAATACAACTGTAATTGTCAGATGTGGTGACAAATATGCTAGCTCTTTGTATTTAAAACAGGCTACATTTTGGATTTAGTTGTGACTCGGAAATGTAGTTGCTGATTTGGGTTTGTTTTCTTTTAATTCTAATTATTAAATAGCCTCTTCTGTAAGGTAGTAACATGATCTCTACCCAGAAGCACATCTCTGACCATTGTGATACGTAACTGGTGTACTTAATTTTGTTCAGACAAACAAAGGGAAGTGGTTCTTTGTACCATGTGTGCCCAGTGGTAGAACTCCTTGGCACAGGATGTTGTGGATGCTAAAAATTTGCATGGGGTTCAAGGGGAAGTGCAACAAGTTCATAGGAGGGAAATTCCTTGGGCATTGTTACACACACAGAAATCACCTCTGGCTCAGGAAATCTCTGAGGAGCAAGCTGTTGGAGACTGGAAGAAACCTAAAAATTTCATTCAGAAACTGTTTCAGAAACATCATTTATGCTTGCTCTGTTCTCATAGTTTTGGTTTGCCAGCTTTTCCTGCTGTGGGAGATAGGGTGATACCTTCTTATTTCTTGATTTCATAAGTTTTTTAGTTTGATAGCTGTCTAGCTGGGCAAATTGTCCATTTTTGCTGTTCTTTATTTGTAAGAAAACTGATAGTGATATGAAAGTGACCTGAGCCTGGAGCTGTAAAAGCCTAACACTCCGGGGTTTTAAAGGATGCTATGAATATTACAGTTCCTATATCATGTAAGGGGAAGGAGATACTCTTTTGTTAGACTTAGGGATTTTTCCTTTTGTAAAATTACCTGTTGGTGTAATATAGCAAACACTGTCTTTCCTAGCTGTCTTCTGTTCTGAGAATTGACAGCTGGTTATTCATTACAGCTATCTATCAGCAAATTAAGTCTTTCTTCTAAATAGCAAATAAAAAGAAACAAAGGGGTACTCTTGCTGTTCTGTCAAAGCAGTAAAAATGTAAAATTGCAAAATAGTGACAAACTAGGGGATTTTTTTTTTTTTTTGGTCTTTAAAATGAGTATGGTCAATTAAGAAATAATTTGCATATGTTAAATCTGTTGGAATGTCGAATACTAAGAAAACCAGAATTGTTTCCACGCAGCATAATTCCACCCCTTTTTATACAGATATATTTTCAGGTAGTCTTCAAACAGTTTTTTAGCAAGTTGGCTTTTATTATTCCTCATGTGTCATTTTTTTTCAAGATGTTTATTAATGCTGTACACCCTGAGCTCGAACAGGATGATGTTAAAGATCTTGTGTTTTGACACTTCTTTCACTTAAACAAGAAGCAAAATAATATTTCCCAGATTATTAAGTTCATGCTTTCTAATATCTTGTGTTTTGAAGGTTGCTGGTACACAGCTGTATGACTGGAGTCTTCAGGGTTATATTGCTGTAGAAACTCTTTGGAAGGATAATCCTAAGAAGAAGAAATCTGGGAAAAAAAGTGATAAGGTAAGAAGTCGGAGGAACTTGATTTCTGAATTTAGCACTGCATTTTCAGACAAAGAATATACGAACAATGGTGGGTTTTTTCTACTCTAACTCAGCTTTTATTTCTAAGACAGATTTCATTCTATCTTTCTAAGCTGTGGAAACATATTAAGCTTATTTCAAGTTAAAGTTTCAGAAATGCTGTTTGGAAGTTTTCTTTAGTATAATCTATTAAGTATTTAATAGGAAAGTTGGGAGTATTGTGGTTGGAATGCTAGGGATCAAAGCTCTTACAGTCTTGATTATTTTAAAAAATGAACTTTTTTTTTAAAAAGTAATTTAATTTGACAAGCTCCATCTTAAAAATCTGGAATAACTTTTTTTTTCATTACATATCTCCTCTTTGAAAGAGAGAAAATAGAATCTTGTTTCCAATTTTTTCCCTTTTTGTTTTTTTCCTTTGAATGTTCATGAATATTTGCTCTAGCACGATGATGTCATTGTGTGCTGCTCTATTAGATGTTACTATCTTGTCATAAAAACAACAGTTTACAGGGATATGCAGTTCTTAGGGTTTTAGTCATAGATAACTAGCTGTGTGGTTTAATACTTACAACACTATTTTAGGAAACTTTGGTTTAATTGGTTCTCGTCCAGAAGACTGCCAATAAAAATTGAGTTCTTTTGAATCTGATTTGAACTGGGCATCCTGGTGAGGTACCAAGTGCAGTTGTTGCTGAAAGTTTCTGCTTTCTAGATTTCCAATTGTTAAACACTGTATGAGGGGTCAAAACATTCACATACGTGTTTTTTGTTTTTTGTTTTTTTTTTTTAGAATAACATTAATCTTTTTCTGTTCTACAAGTCCCTTTTTTTTTTTGGTCTGGCATTACTGTTCTGTGTTAGGCTAAGCAGGCTGATGTCTTGCCTTAGATGACAGAGATGCTTGCATCTGATGACAGAGCAAATGCTAACATAATGGCTTTGTTTTCCAGAGTTTGGCAAGCACTGTGGTTTCTTTAAAACAGCATTTTTGAATTAACAATGCTAATACAACTAAGTGAATGTCTGCATGCTTATTTTCAGTTTTAGAATGGAGCAGCTTTCCTTATTCCCCCTACAGAGCAGCTTTTCCTAATTCCCCTACACAGCATCAATGATACGGTATGATTTCCTTGCGTACTTTACTAGAGAAGGGAAGCCTTTTTTTTTCTAGCACTCCTGTGGTCCATGCTTATACAATACCACCATTTTAAGGCATGTGTGCCTTTAGTTACTTTAAATCTCAATATCTCAGCAAGTGTGCTCTTCCATAGTTGATTTATAGTCGTCAAAGTAGTTGCTCTATATTTAAGTCACATTATTCAGTGTACGTGAATGAATTTATCCTTGGTTTTGAGTTAGTGTTTGTATTGGTATCTAACTATTTGCTTGTATGTTTGTGTGCGTTAAAGCAGTGTATATTAAGACTTTATATTAGATTTTTATATATATATAATGTATATTATGTTTCTATATAAAACCACAAAATGGTTGAGGTTGGAAGGGACCTTTGGAAGTCATCTGGTCCAACCCCCTGCTCAAGCAGGGCCACCTAGAGCCAGTTGCCCAGGACTGTGTCTAGACAGCTTTTGAATATCTCCAAGGATGGAGACTCCACAAATTCTCTGGGCAACCTGTGCCAGGCTCAGTCACTCTCACAGTAAAAAAAGTGTTTCCTGATGTTCAGAGGGAACCTCCTGTGATTCAGTTTGTGCCCATTGCCCCTGGTCCCATCACTGGGCACCGCTGAAAAGAGCCTGGCCTCCGTTCTCTGTGCACCCTCCCTTCAGGTATTTTTATACATGGATGAGATCCCCCCTGAGCTTTCTCTTCCCCAGGCTGAACAGTCCCAGCTCTCTCAGCCTGTCCTCATAGGAGAGATGCTCCAGTCCCTTAATCACCTGTGTGGCCCTTCGCTGGACTCTATCCAGTATGTCAATGTCTCTCTTATACCGGGGAGCCTAGAACTGGACATGGTACTTAAACTTTATCTGTAGAGTTCATCAAACGTGATACACTACTGTAGTGAATTGTAGAGTTTTAGTTTTGTATATCTATAATTGTTTACTTCTACAAATTGCTAGATGTTATGACTGGATAGTAATGTCCAATAGAGCAGTACCCAGTGACACCATTATGTTAGAGCAAATATTTATAAATACTCTCCCAAAAAAATCCTAAATAAGATTTTATTTTGCTGCTTCAAATGCATTTTGCATTCTACAAAATGCTACCAAGTTTCAAAATCAGTGCAGTGTGATTGATTAATGATACTAGTTGAAGATTAGCACTGACTTGTGAAGAAACGGGAACTTGTTTTAATGAATCATTTCGTTATGTAATGTCTTGATCATAATTTATAACCTGCCTGAAGCTGCTGGAGTTAAGTATCTTAATGATGGTTTTTTTTTTTATCTACTAGACGTTTCTGTTACCCCACAGGAGCAAGCTGTCTTTGTAGTTATACCTCTCTGATACAGATAAGCAAACTGACTTCTAGGAAATATATGTAGATTGCTCAGTGAAGCAGAGTGTAAGAGACTGCAGAACTGTGCGTGTGGATTAAATGTGTGCCAGGGAGAGCCTGTAAGGTTTTTAGGGAATTTTTTTAACTGCTACTTAAAGAAATAAAAGTTCAGGTGCGTAACGTAAAGCTTCTGTGGTTTTAAATTCACTTCTAAACTCACTGCATCTTTAATTCCTGATTTCTAAGCAACTATGCTTGTTCTGTTGATACAAACTGCTTCCCATCTCTTATTTCAGTTGTTTAATGTAGCCTTGCAAAACTAACAGGTGATTTGAAAACGACTTTGAACCAGCAGAAAGTCTTGGTCTTTTACTGTGGACCTCCTGATTGAGCCATAGCTCGCAACTGGTAACAGTTCATACTAGGTTGACAATGATGTATGGCTTCCGGGTTGTTGTAAACCAGAAGTCCTATCTGACCAGAACATGTTATTTTCAACCCAGAGGCCTAAGACATAAGGGAGATAGCCACTGAGAGAGAGATGTTTTGGAGAGGCAATTGCACTTGAGTAGACTGCAGGTATGGGACCGTGTTCCCTAGGTAGGTCTAGGTGTGGGACTAGCTCCAAACAAGCTGGGTTGGAGAAATGCTCACGTGTCCTGTCCGTTGCTGAGTCTTATGAGAGTGGAGACTTTCATCAGTGGATACGCGTCCTGTATTGGCCCTAGGTGCTTCAGTAAATGCTCTTGTATAGCTCTTTGAATAAACAAAGGTTAGTTAATCATACTGTACCTTTCCTAAAACCTAGGCTGTCAAAAAGTATCTCAAAAAAAAATAGGCAACATTAAAATATTTCAGAAAGACAAACTGACAGCATCAGTAAAAATTAGCTGAGCTTTTTATTTTATTGTATCCCAGGCTTTCAAAGGGAAACATGTGGTTGTTATTGGAAGGCAAAAACTTTTGAAGCTTTCATCTTATTATAAGGCTTATTCAAGCACTTGCTACCTCAGCAGAAAAACAAACGACATGCAAAACTGCAGAGACCACTAAGTAAACACACTTCTTCCTCCTTGCAGAATCTTTAAATCACACCCCTTAGTTGCCAAAATATGTTATTTGCACAAAGGAGTGAAATGCCACTGGGTGGTTTCCTCCTAAAGTTCATCTAATTGATCAGGTATTGTTAGTGTTAACTGTTGCTATTTAACTTCATGGATTAGGCAAGGTACAAAAATCCTGTGACTCAAATGAAGAAGCACGATGCACTTGATGAAATTGCCTGCATTTCAGATGTTCAGTGATCTCTTACCACTGGAGTATACAGCCTCATTGTTTCTTTGTCCTCTGAAGTTGTTGAAGAGAGGGTATTGTCTTCCTGGGGTCTAGAGAAGCTGAACAGCAGTTGTAAAAAGTCATGTGCTTTTGAGGTCACTAGAATGTGGACTGAAAAGTATTTCTAATGGAAGAAGTCTGCTCTGAAACTTCCTTTTGGTAAAGCAGAGTAAAATACATAGTTGAGAATTTGGGAGGGTAGGGGTGGGTTTGGGTTTTTTTTGTTTGTTTAGTTGTTTTGTGGGGTTTTGGTTTTTTTTCTAAGATAGTTTTACAATGTTCTATCAGGATGTGGTCAGTCACAGTTAATAATGAAAACCTCTACCTTCTTTTATGCATATAAGCCCTGGTGTGTCCCTAACATGAGATGTGAGAGGTGAAGTTTACCCTAGAAAAACTTTTTCAGTCTGTCTCTAATGCTGTGTAGTTATACTAGTGCAAAAGAGTACTTTTTGTTCATACAGATGATTAGATCCTCCAAATCAGTATCCACTTTTCCAGCAAAAGAATTTCTGTTATAAATATAAGCTGTATTTTTATTGGAGCTTTTACTGATACAGAAGTGTCATGGAAGAAAGTAAATACTTCTAACATCATGTACTAAAATTAGCAAAGCATTCTAGGAGAGATTCTGGGACTTCTGTCTTAATTTGACAGCCCTGTGACAGAACTGGGTTGTTTTTGTATATTTTTTTCTTACTGTTGTATTAGGCAGCTAGATTCCTTAACTAGTGAAGGCAAATATAAATGTTATTCTTGAGTTGTTGTTTGTCCTGGTTTCGGCTGGGATAGAGTTAATTTCCTTCCTAGTAGCTGGTACAGTGCTGTGCTTTGGATTTAGGATGAGAACAACGTTGATAACACACCGATGGTTTAGTTGTTGCTGAGCAGTGCTTACACTAGTCAAGGACTTTCCAGCTTCCCATGCTCTGCCGACTGAGAAGGCTGGAGGGGCACAAGAAGCTGGGAGGGGCACAGCCAGGACAGCTGACCCCAACTGGCCCAAGGGACATTCCATACCATGTGACGTCATGTTCAGTACATAAACTGGGGGAAAGCTGGCCGGGGAGGACACTGCTCGGAGACTGGCTGGGCATCGGTTGGCGGGTGGTGAGCAATTGCACTGTGCATCACTTGCTTTGTATATTCTTTTATCATCATCATCATTATTATTACT